GTGAAAAGCGCTATACAAATAAACTTGAATTGAATTGAATTGAATATTAAGAATTTTTATTAGTCTGAACACTTGAGCTCTGAGGATCATATTACTCCAAGTAATCAGACAAGACCAATTCAGTGATTTGAGACTTGATCATTTGAGACTTAATCATTGAATCAGTGAGTTGTGAACTGCTGCTGAATGTGATTTATGAATCAGTTCATTGAGAATTGGCTCTAAAGAATGATTTGTTCCAAGTAGTTTCGCTTTCACAACAAAACACACAGCGTCACACATGGTGGGCTAGAGTGAGGAACGGCCGGTGGGCTTGAGAACGGCAAGGCCGGCGGATTCGACGAAGGAGCATCCGGCGGGCTTGCGGCAACCACATGATGACCCCGGGCTGGACTCCGCTTCGTCCACGGTGAAAGCCGATTCGGCAATCCACAGCGCGAAGTTGATGTATTTCCTCAGCAACCAGCACGGATCAGCTCTAGGCATGACGAAGCGAATATCGTCCTCTTTTGGAAGGCCAACATGGCTGCAGGGAACATTGCTCTCGTTCAGACACCAGAGCATCAGTGAGGTCAGACGCTGATTTTATACGATGGGGCCTGGCTCACTGTCATCCTGAAGGTGTTCAGTGAATTTCAGGTTGGCGTTTTGTGAAATCCAGCCAAGTTCTTCTATACTAGAGTCAGTAAATAATTTCCTCATGGATCCTGCTTTGTGCAGAGAGCACTGTTATGTTGGGAAATAAAATAGTATCTCCCATTTTTTGGATATTACATGACTGTATGCTTGACTGAATCAGAAAACGATGTTCACAAACTTTGGCCATGTAGTGCATCTTGGGTTACCATGTATGAGATATGAATATGGTAGTCATTCAGCACCATGATCTAACCATCTGATCACTGTGCCATTGTACCACCACAATACTGAGAGCAGTAGCGGTGTGTTTATCTTATTCCTTTCATACTGTGTTAGCTCAAGTAGTTTATACGCTTCTCTGGGTTCAAAGCTTCTGCGCTCACTGATTTTACTTTGTCTTTTTTTGTTTTCTTTTGATCTGACCTTTAGATGATAAATAGGCTATTTTTTCTTTGTTTGAGTTATTTTAAAGGTGCACCACAGAACTTTGGTCTCTATATTGCCATCTGTGGTTGAAACGTAAAATTACAAATTACTCATAGAGTTGTTTAGTTGTTCTTTTCTCTGGTTGATTTGCCTATGATTAGATCTGTCATTCTATTCTGGGCCAATATCCAGTGACAGCTAGAAGGATGTCTACATGGCATACAGTATATATGAAAACAATATGTATTGTGAGCAAGCAGCTTAGACCATTTTTTGATTATGGGCATGATGTAAACCTGAAATGTACAAACCGCCCTAATTGCTCAAAATATAAATCATTTTAGTAAGTTTACCGTAGTGAATTGGGGTAAGGCTTACTTGATCAATAATGTAACTTTATTCATGTTTTACATGAAAGATCTTCCATAGTGCTAATAATCAATCAATCAATGCTGTTTAAAAGTTTGGGCTTAAGATTTTTTTTTTATGTTTTTGAAAGAAGTCTTTTCTGCTCACCAAGACTGCATTTATTTGATCCAAAGTATAGAAAAACAGTGATATTTTGAAACATTATTACAATTTGAAATTGAAAAACTGTTTTCTGTTGTAATATATTGTAAAATGTAATGTATTCCTGTGATGCAAAGCTGAATTGTCAGCATCATTACTCCAGTCTTCAGTGTCACATGATCCTTCAGAAATCAATCTACTGTAATATGCTGATTTGCTGCTCAAGAAACATTTCTTATTTTTATCAATGTTGAAACAGTTGCTTCATATTTTGGTGTAAATAAGGATACATTGTTTATCCAGGATACTCTGATGAATATAAGGTTCAAAAGCATTTATTGGAAATAGAGATCTTTTGTAACACTGTATTTACTGTCACTTTTGATCAACTTAATGCATACTTGCTAAAGTATTAATTAAAAAAAAAAATTATTGAGCCCAAACTTTTGAGCCATAGTGCAACTTTTTATATTATCATTCTCTATAATTTTAAAGTGATAAGTCACTTAAATTACTTTTTAAATGTATAAATATTTAGCAGTGTCTTCCTGTTTTTCATGTGTGCTGAAATGTGGTACTGGTACTGTACTATCCATTAGTTCACATTTTTTGTGTCTCCAGTGGCAGACCATCTCTTTGACGGTGATAGAGAAAGTACAGATAGCTGCAGCTGTTCTGGGTTCCCTGTTCCTGATAGCCAGTATCTCCTGGCTGGTCTGGTCCTCTCTCAGTCCATCGGCCAAGTGGCAACGGCAGGACCTGCTCTTCCAGATCTGTTACGCCATGTACGGCTTCATGGACCTGGTGTGCATCGGTAGGTCATTGGATTCTCAATAACTGCAGCCATCTGGCTCAGCAAAACCAACGCTGTGTTTTTTATGTTTGCTTGTTTACCAGTCTGAGATTGTCAGACAATGTCTGAAGGAAGAAAAAAAACCTTTGAGTACATGGTGGCCTCCCTGGTGGCCAACCGACATACAGTGCCTTGCGAAAGTATTCATACCCCTTCATTTCTTTCACATTTTGTTATGTTGCTGCCTTATGTTAAACTGCTTTAAATGTAGTTTTTTTCCCCCACATCAATCTACACTCCATACACCATAATGACAAAACAGACAAAAACAGAATTGTCACAACTTTGTAAATTTATTACAAATAAAAAAATGAAATAAGTACATTGCATAAGTATTCATACCTAAACTAAATTCATACCATAACTAAATATTTAGCTGAAGAACTTTAACAGCCTCAAGTCTTTATGGGTAAGATGCGACAAGCATTGCATATCAGCATTTAGCAATTATCTGCCATCCTTCTCCTCTCAACCTCTCTGTCAGCTTGGATGGGAGCAGATGCACATTTTCAGGTTTCTCCAGAAATATTAGATTGGGTTCAATCCCAGGCTCTGGCTGGGCCATCAAGGACATTCACACAGTTGTCTATAAGCCACTCTTGCTGTGTGCTTAGGGTCATTGTCCTGTTGGAAGGTGAACCTTCTGCCCAGTCTGAGGTTCTGAACGCTCTGGACTGGGTTTTCATTAAGGCTATCTCTATATTTTGCTGCACTGAGCATTCCTTCTACTCTGATGAGTCCCTCAATCCCTGCTACTGAAAAACAGCCCCTCAGCATGAGGCTGCTACCAGCACACTTTACTTTTGGGATGGTACTCTGCAGGTGATGAGCAGAGCTGGTTTCCTTCAAACATGATGCTTAGAATTGAGGTTTATCAGACCAGATAATCTTGTTTCTCAGCGTCTAAGGGTCCTTTAGGTGCTTTTTTGTAAATTCCAAGTGTGTTTTCATGTCTTAACTGAAGAGAGGATTGAGTCTTGCCAGACTGCCA